ATCAGCTTCAACAGAAATGCTTCTCACACATTAATGTATCAGTGATAATACTATAATGTATGTAATACTATGAAAGAGGCCATTCAGCATAATGAGTACTTTAACTCGCTTAACTTTAATTTTACTGATAATACTACTAAGATTTTGAATGCAGGACTTTTACTTGAAATGGAGTATCTTTACATTGTTGTATTATTACTTTTATAAAAGTACAAGATCTGAATACTTATTTTACCCTTATTGAAACCACCTCCACCCTTTTCACAATTTTGTACTTTTACTTTGGATTATTCTGTACGTGATTAAAACCTGTGTGATCGCTTGACTTCCCCGGTGGATATTATTGCCACTATATTGGCAACAATAATGGCCAATCAAATCAGATCCTCTTACTGCCCTTAAAGCAGCATCATTTTAACAATGACGCACTCATATGTAGTTTGGTATACGGTGCATTTGCATGTGTGTATGTACCAAGGATATCACCAGTGATCCATGGTGCCAACAGAACAGAAGAAGTGTGATTATTGAACCCATAACAAATAAACACACACTCAGCATGCCAGAGTGTTGTTAATTTGATGTACATAGAGCTCAACTCTGATGCACTTTGATGCTTGCACAGTGATGGTGATGCATGAATGTGTGTGTTTAGCTCCATCTTTTGGAGGGATAACATAAATGGCATACTGTGCATCTGTCAATGCCTTTATGTCATTTATATGTCTTTGTTCTATTTGGAATCAGTACTGCATCATTTTAGATACATGTCCCCGGCCCTTGATTTATAAGCACACATCTTTCAATATCTAAACTGTGGGTACTACTAAATATAATAATAACTTTTTAGAGACTTATTGAACAGACAAAATAGGAAAGTGACACTCAAGTGTGATTCATATGATCTGACAGAGAACAGGGGTGGGGACACAACCGCTCAAAGTCTATTTGGCACCAACTTGTTTCATTACACAAACAGAAGTGGTTTAGATTAAATGACATTGTACAGGTGTTCCTGTTATTGTGTCCATCACCAGCATGTGATGAACGTCTCTGTCCATTACATCCACACCACCAAATGTGCAAAAGAGGGAAGAGAAGACACAGTGAAGAGAAAGTAGGATGGGGACAAGGAACAAGCTAAATGGAATTCAGCCATCATCAACCCTTGAGCAAGGCCCTGCCCAGTTCGACCCCAAACCCATGGTTGTACTGGGCAGCTTCCAGGTGTAAATGTGAGTAACTGTGTACAAAGAGGTTAAAAAGAATTACAAACATAAAAATGGTACTCATCCCTATCGCAAGGAATCATTATAATCAATGCCAATGACCCACTCTAAAAATTGAAGAAATGGGCATCAAAAGCACATTGATGTAGAAGGTAAGGAAAAAGATTTAAAAAAAAGACTTCAAGATGCTGTAATGCTTGTACTAATCTCTTTCAGCTAGGACTATGGAAGGGCAGACTGGCAACACCCTGCACGCTGGAACATGTACAGCATTGGTTATGGTATTTATTTCCTGTTGTTATTCTCCACTATGTTGTGTTTAGGGTTGTTTAAGAAGAGAGTAAATGTAACTTTGCTTATATAACAACATAACAAAATTTCCAAGAATATTAAAATAAAAGATTAGAAAAAAATATAATCATCCAGTGACATCAGCAAAGCAAAGTAATGTTCAGAAAAGTCTGAAAGTAAAAAATGCAAAAAACAATAAAAGCACTTGGTAAAACAGAGTTAGCAGTGAATAGCTAAAGGAGCAAAAGGGATCATTCTTGGAAAATATTAAATATATAAACTGAGTTTCAAGAAGTCTTGGCTGTTTGTCCTTTTTTCATAATTTATTCTTATCAGGTTTTATCACTTCTCTTGTAATTTTTTTTTATTTCTGCACAAACTCACTTAACCAAACAAAGCACTGCAAGTAGTGGTCATGTTAACCAGCACAGACTCATTAATTTCAATGTTCCAAAGTGATCAACAGGTCAATCATTAATCCTTCCAGACAAGCCTGTTGACCTGTGGGAAGAAAATAGACTGGTAGAGAGTTGTGCCTTTATTAACAGCTCCCCGTGTGCATTACTGTAGAACTGCCCCACTTAGTGGTCAAAAGGAGAAACAAGGTGAGGAAAGAACATTTATATAGCAGAAAGGTTTTCAAAGTGGCTGGCCTCACTAGGGGGAGTCCAAACAGTTTCAGTGGAGGCTCAGTGAATGGAAGTAAAAACACATTCTATGTTAGTTATCAGAAGATCACGTAGAATAATGTAAATGTGTGGTATTTGGTTAAAAAGATAGAAGAGTAGTTTGAGGGAAATTTAGTGTCTTTCCAAGAGTCAGAAACTAATAAATGCCTTAGGACAGACCTTTTTTTTTTTATGTATTTGGTGTAATCTTAAGTTATGTGAAACAACAATAGTAGGTTAGTTACAGTAGGCCTAGTCGAGTTGACTGAAGAAAAATGCATGGAGAGACATATGTCCTTTAATTCTTAATTTATTCTCAAGGTGACTTTATAATGATCTTAATGTGGCTCTTAAAAATACGGGTCTAAATCCATGACCACACCAAGATTTCTGGCTTGGTCTATGGTTTTAACATTATTGGTTTAAGCCGAGCACTAACTTTTAATTGTTCTTCCTTGGCAACAAAAATATTTACTTCTGTTTTATCTTTGTTGAATGCAGTGGTTCTCAAAGTTTTTCTGTCATGCCTCCTTTCAGAAGTAAAAAAAATAATTCATGACAGGCAGTTGAAATAAACAAGATTCAGGTCAGCAAAATAGCCTTGCTAGCGTCCGAGCACTTTTCTTTATTTATGTCATCACATAAATCATATTTATGCAACTCTGTGTCTGGTCAACATTCATGGCCCCCAGTAACTGGCTTTACGCCCCCACACACCTCTCCCCCGAGTTTGAGAGCCACTGGTTTAAATTAAGGAAATTCTGGCAATTGTTGATGTGTTGTTTTTTTTTAGCACTATTGGATTATAGTCCCCTGGTGACATGGTTATGTACATTTGAGTGTGGTCTGCTTAATTATGTGTAGACTCCCAATACTGTAGTCATAGTAAATATAATTACATTTTGGCAGACTGACATTAGTATGAAACCATGACTTATCTATGGAGCATGTAACTGGTGAACAGAAGAGGCCCCAGAATTGAGCCTTGGAGAATCCACAGGTAAATTTCGTCCACTCAGATGTGTAATTACTTATAGAGACAAAGTAGTCAAACAAATCATATGGGTAATTGACTCATTAATGGCATTTAATGCATAAAAATGCAAACAAAAGCCAAGGCTGTGTAATTCACACATGCACAATTGTGTGAAAAATATTATTTTGCACATTTTTACTACATCATTATGTAGGCAACAGAATTTTACTAGTTTGGGATAATGTGAGCTTTAATGTGACACATGCTGTCAGAGATATACAATCAAACTATGTTATTTTCTCTAACATGGAAAGGGCCATAACTGTGAGGAACCAACAGTTGCTTAGCAACACTGTTGAAGAGAGCAGGTTTGATGTTGGAACAGACAAAGTGGACAAGGCTGTACAACATACCATCCATCTGTGGCCTCATAAAAGTAACAGGAACAATGAACATGCTGTGAATTCTGATACAAAACACAGCCAGGTCTACATGTGCTGCACATGTAACAAAATAACAGTGTCCTTTGACAGAATATTGTGTAAGACAAACCAGAAATGAAGCTGAAATAAATAAAATGATGTACCAGGTTAAAAATAACATGATGTGTTGCTATTTTGACACTATGTTGTGATTATTTGTTACCATTGATGAAAATATGGTGAAATGTTGTTACAATGTTGATATAGCCTTTCAAACTTCAATGTTGGACACTTTAAATTGAAAGCTCTAAACCTAGATTGTTTCTTTTCTAGTAGTTAGTACTCATTCCTTTGTTGCGAGTCAGCATTGCAATCTTGAGAAACGTGGAGACTTCACTCAAAATCAAGTTTGAGCACTTCTGATCTGCTGAACATTAGCCTAGCCATAGCAGGAGTTTTGCAAGAGGTCAATTTAGTTTAAAATTTGTTCAAAAACCTAATCACTCAATCGATCAAACATTCGTGAACGTTGTATTGACTCTTGTGTAAGGACAACACTAGTTCATGATTTCAAATATTTAATGTTAATGTCTTTTAATGTTACTGTTGAAAGGGAAGCCTCTGAATGCAGAGTAACCAGTGAACTACAGCAGCCGTTAGCGTCGGTTGGTTGGATAGTTTCCGGGGAGTATGTGCAGCTGTGTTGCTCTTGAACAGACCTTTGGTTTCAGCCCCTCGCGGGTAAACTTCTATTTCTATGGCGTTACGAGTTCCTTAACTTTTTCTGTATTTCAGTAATTAATATACAGTTGGTACCGCCTATGGTATTCGAGCTTATATGTATTCCTAAAAGGTCGGTTTGTTTAGTTGCTGTTAAACTGCCCCAGCTAACGTTAGCAGTAGTTGCGCCTGGGGAGACAGAGGAGGGATGTCGCGCGGGTAAGTGTGTGAGACATTAACGTTCGGGATGTAAACGTTGCCTGTCTTATTTGGAAAAAAAAGTGTATGTTTGTGTTGTGCATGATGGAAGTGTTTCACAGCGGCAATCTTTTACATGTAACATTAGTCATCGCTACAGTTGCAAATCAAATAGATGCCTTGCTCTGTTTGTGCGAGTGAGACGACGGTTGTTTCCTCTCCCTCCTCTCTGTTTAAAAACCGATGTTCTGTTGTGTCATGATAGTGAGCTCGAAAAGCTGGACCCGGCTGTGTTCCAGAAGCAGTTGCACAGTCTGAAGTTTAGGTAGGCATTTCTGTGTTCTCACACTGTCACGTCAGCTGACGTTCTATATCACAGTTACATCGAAATCACAAACACCTCATTCTCGCCGATAAGAAATGTTGAAATGCAAGGTGGGCAGACTTTTTGCCTTTGCGGAAATGCGACGCTTGAGGCGCTCTACTATCTGAACTAACTAACTGTTCTCAACGTTTCCCCAAGCATGTTCATGGGAACAAGTAAGCTAGCTTGAAGTTCCACCAAGTTGGAATTTAAATGAACTAGTTTGTCACTCATTTTTGAACAATTAATTGCAACAATTTAGTTTTTCTGATTTGTGCAGTGCACTGTTTTGATATTTAGTGGAACGCTTCATATTTATGTCGAGGGATTAAAGTTGTTTGGTTTTAAGAACGTTAGCTAATGTTAGCTTTTGGGTAACGTTAGTTAAGCTAGCTCGCTGCTGTTACAACATCAGAATCAGCTTTATTTGCCAGGTATGTGTACACGTACGAGGAGTTTGACATTACAGTGCTCACGATTTGTTTTCTCATACAATAATACATTAATAAAATCAGACACAGGCTACAGTATAGAGAACACATATATGCACTCTATAAACAAAAACAATAGAGACATACTGAGACAACATTCTTGCTTGTTGAAAAGGTTGCGGGAAGGGGAAGTGAAATACACAGTCTTTTTACACAAGGTTACAGTTACAAGTTAGTTAGATTAATGACAATGTACTTTTTGTAAGTATCTTTTATGTTAAAAATGCAGGTTTGTATGTCATAAGTTAGCCGTTTACAGAACAGTTTTGGCAGCTTTGTTCCTCTATGCTTCAACAGTTACAGTTCAACAGCAATAAACACACACAAACTGGACATGTTTTTAATAGCCTCCTCCCCCAATGTTTGTAAATGGTGTGAAGCAAAACATTAGAAACACCTTTCAATTCAGTTCAGTTAAACACCACTGCCAAAACAACCTCTTTTATGAACATACAGTTAGATTGTAAAGGTAGAATTTATGGCAAACCTGTCAAACTGATTGCATTGGAGTTTGAGTGGAGAGATATTAGAGTAGATATTTATGAAATTGGTCACTGAGTGTATCTGCTAACACGTGTGCTTCATTCTGGTTGCCTCCTGTCTGGTGTCTGCATTGTCTTTACTATCGATTTTAATGCTAACGTGCAAATTATATAGAATGTTAGCTGTGGCATTGTGCAGTGTGCTGTAGAGAACAGCATCGAGCATTGGCATACAGCTTGTGTTGTAATCTGCCATTGAATCAGCAGTGGTATTCTAATAGCAGTATTTGTGTCAATTTAAATGTAGCATTTAAAAACACGCACACACAATGGGGGGGGGGGGGGGGGGGGGGGATGTTTGGTCTTGTTAACTTAAGGTGAGGTTCAGAAATGTTTTTACACCTGTAGCTGAAACATGACTGAAAACTCAACAATACCATTATAAAGTCCACATCAACCATATCATATGTTGATATCAGTGCATATCAATGTTTGTATGCCGTGATGTCTAATTACTTTCTAGGGTTTCGTTTCACTTTTAATAATATATATGTTGAAATACAGTAATACATTTCATTTTAAATCTTGGTTGGTGTGCGTGGTTGCAGTATGGAAGAAGAGGGGGACAGTAACCTGTGCGTTGACACTGACTCGGACACAGCAGAGAAGAAGGATGGTACCAAGTGTAAAGTCAAATGGACTCAGGAAGAGGTGAGTGAAAGGAAGGCTTTAAACAGCTGTTGTCACCCTGATTTTTTTCAGACATTAAAATCATGTAATGTGAACTAGGCTTTAGAAATGTTGTCACATAGGTTTCTGTTGATGTGCATGATAACTTAATACCTGAAGGCTGACCTTAAAGCTCACATTAAATAATACTGTATCTGAACTGATTTCTTCTTGTGTGCAGGATGAGAATCTCAAAATCCTGATCAACAACTTTGGAAAAAAAGATTGGAAAACCATTTCCAGTTTTTTACCGGTAAGTACTTAACAGAAGCAAAATCAGTTGAGTTAGAGAGAATTAGTAAATCAGCAATGTAAACGTAGAAAGTTTAACAAAATTGAAGAAAGCCAGAGGGCGTATGACATTGTCATGTCATTGAACTTATAAAAAGGCAAATCTCTGAATGCAAATCAATCTCTCCATGTTGAATTGTTTTCATCTCGGATAATAAGAAGAGTTAAAGACATTTCCTTTTGCTTTGACAGGGACGTACAGAATTCCAGTGTATGCACCGTTGGAAAAAGCACCTGGATCCTGATTTAGTCAAGGGCTTCTGGTCCAAAGAGGAAGATGAAAAGGTAGAAGAATTACACAAAACATCTGATACAGACTTTGCTTAACCTCTTAACATTCCTGTAAAATACATGCAAAACGCCTATTCAAGGCATATCCAAAGTAAATTGAATGTAGTTCTTGAACCATTTGGAGTATATGCACGGTTTTGGGCTTCTCTGAAAGAGAACACTTTGTGTTGTGAGTGTCTAACCCAAAAGTCAGATTGTTTGTTAGTGCTACTGGAATTGATTAATATAAGTTTAAACACTAAAATGAATAATATATATGTTTTCATTTCCGCTTGAAAATGCTTGCTAACAAATGCATGCAGTTAACTATAGCTGGGACTTATTAGCTGGAAAACACTGTAGGGCCACAGGATAAAGCCTTACCTAGTCCTAGTTGAAATTTCATACCAATACCATGAAAAAGTGTGTGAATGAGTGTATGTCTTAGCGTATTTTTTCTAAAACAGCACTGCCCCTTGGCGGCAGGCGGCTGCTACTGCATTGCTCCGTATCAGCCGGTAGCTCGACGCAGATGTGTTTTTTTGCTGGTAGATCATGAACTTTATTTACATTCAAATCGGCGTTATTACGGGTTATAATGACATACGAGCAAATATGACACAATGCGGCAGCAGTCCCAGGGGATTTATTGATGGAATAATGTGTTTTGGATTAAATATTTTTACTGGATTGGATCGTCTGGACCCTTGACAACGTAACAAGACCATTTTTGTTGGAATATAATCGATCGGTGGATTACTATGAGGCTTGATAGGTTTTGCTTTCACTGGTTGGTCTGACAGAAGCGCTGATTGTACCCGCTGTGGTGACTGTATCTTGCATTGGTCAAATCACGAGGATTTTAGCTTTCAAACTGTCATTTCAAGCTGTGTGCACATCCTGAAACCTGCTGCCAGGACCTGACGGAGGTTAACACACTATAGTTAATATTGTCCCATCTCACTTTGTACTCCTGTGTTTACCTGTTTTATTTCTTATTATATCTTGACAGATAGTAGAGCTGGTGGGCAAGTACGGCACCAAACACTGGAGTTTGGTGGCCAGGCATCTAAAGGGGCGGCTTGGAAAACAATGTCGTGAGCGCTGGCACAATCACCTCGACCCACTGATCAAAAAGAGCTCCTGGACCAATGAGGAAGACCTCATCATCTACAAAGCCCACTCCATTCTAGGAAACCGGTGGGCTGAGATTGCCAAACTGATCCCTGGAAGGTAAATGTAAATGCTCCGTACTTGTATAGCGCCTTTCTTGTCTTTTCGACCACTCAAAGCGCTTTTACACTACATCTGCATTCACCATTCACACACATTCATTCACTGAGCCTAAGTGCTCAAAGAGAAACTAACATTCCCACACATTCATACAATGGTGAAACAGCCACCATGGGAAATTCGGGGTTCAGTAACTTGCCCAAGGAAACTTCGACATGCAACCTGGAGCCGAACAACCTATCAGCCTATTTTAACCAGGGATGACACAGAGACTTTAATGTACATTTTCATTTTCTCTTGCAGGACAGATAATGCTGTGAAAAATCACTGGAACTCGACCATCAAGCGTAAAGCAGAGTTGGGCCTATACAAAGATGAAGCGGACAGCATTACCCTTGATATTGAGCAATTTGTGGAAGGAGAGGTATTGTACTTAAGTTTAGCACATGCTGTATACATGATATACAGTATGTGTATAACATGGTTTTCAGCTTTTACCGATTTCCACCAACTGTACAAGTGTTTCCTTCTGTGATTTGTCATTGAGCAAATTTTAATAGATTATAAATGAATAAAAATGATTAATAGATTTGATTTTGATTTAATTGTAGGAATGTAGCAGGTACAATAGGTGTTGCTTACAGTTTCAGAAATGCAAAGATAATGCTACTTGCCAAATATAAGAATCTAATCAGTATGTTTACTGCTGTTCAGACCATGTAAGAAAAATAAAACCTTCGGTGTTATTTATAAAATTTTGGAGCAGAGACCCTATTGTGCATTCACATGTGTTGTGTTACAGGTAGACTTCAAATGTGATGTTGTATTGGACACTGAACCAGTAACTCCTAAACTGGTAAGTTTGCTAAATGATTTTCTATTATGATTTAGCCGTGTTTGCTTCTAAACCTTTACCTAACAAGAAACACAGAGCTACGTTGGATATGGTAATATAATTATCACCGCTGCTGCCATAGAAATATCCTGTTTGTATTTTCTTCCTTGATGTTCCCAGCTGGCAGCTTGGTTTAACTGTCCTCTGCTTTGCTGCAGGTCAGGCCAGTGAAAGAGAAGCTGAAAGAGCGTCAGGAAGCCAAGCAGAAGACTGTTCTGCTTTCAAAGCCATTAGCATCCAGGAGAGAATTCTCCTCCCCCAGTCCATCCTTGCCCCCCAGTTCGAGTTCCAGTCCCAGCTCCAGCTCAGGCACCGCACCAGCAGCCGCACCGGTGGACCAGAAAAAGTTCACAGAAGCAGCGCTGAGGATGATCGCTGAAGACATGCTGCCACTCAGGTGACTTGTAGTGCTGGTGGCTGCTGTTAAACTGTCCTTTTTCAGTGTATTTCATTGTCAAAATACCCAAGTTTGTTAATCAACAAGTCAAAGAAATGCTTTCACAAGTCTGCCTTCCCTGGATGATGTCATATATTCCCCAGACTTTCAAGCAGCTACTTTTGGGTAGTTATTGAATTACAGCAGCATTTATATAGCAGGTCAGTGTCTTGCCCAAAGACGACCCACTCCACCTCCTGTGCTACAGCCAACTGAGACATCCTATCACTATCATTTAACCCAATGCTATCTTAATTTTGTTCTCCACAGTTTTGTTGAAGGCGCAGGCTTCAGGTCATTCATGAGCACCATCAGACCTGAATACAACAAGCTGTCTCAGCGTGTAATGGGCCTACATCTCTATGATAACGTGGAGAGAACTATCAAGCCTCAGCTCATCCGTGATCTTAAAGCCTGCCTTGCCAAAACCAAAGATGGTGAAGGCTCTATCCATGTGACCTATGACCTCTGGGCAGGGAGTCCATCCCATCCAGTGGATGAGCCCATCGTAGTTGTGCAGCTCCACTTTGTCAGTGATTCCTGGCAGATCCGCCGTCCCATCGTGGCCTTCCGTCACCTCAGCCACAAAGACCTGACCACTCTTGTGGCCAGGGAGCTTGAAGGTGTGCTGCTGAGCTTTGGCATCTTTCCTTGCAACATTGGGTACATCCTTGCCAACCAGGCGAAAGAAGCCCTGGCTGGGAACAACTTGTTCTGCGACTACAAGATCATGTGCTCATCCAACAGGGGAGAACCGGATGGAGATGAGATAGTGGCATTTTTGTCAGACCAGATGTCTGAAACAGAGTCCCCCTTTTCAGAGCTGCAGATTGGGACCAGGACCAGCTGTGTGGCCAAAACATTGCAGCTGGTAATAAGGGAGGCACTGAAGAACTCTAGGGTTGTGGAAAACCTGCTCTCGCAGGTCCATAATGTGGTGGCTTTCTTTAGGAGCAGCGCCTACTGGAGTGAGGTAAGAGTAATAGACAAACAGATTAAAACTGATTTTGTAAGTGTATTTTTGACAAAGCAGCAACACCAGGATTTTTAATTGTTTTCATTAGCCCTGATTAACCCTTTCAAATCCAGGGTCTCCAATCATCTTTCCTCCACGTTTCCTTGTGTGCAAATACACATCAGACTTCACTAAGAAGAAATATGACATCTGCATCCCCCACTTTTTAGTTAACAGACATCAGCTGTCTTCATTATTTCAAATACATTTTTTGTGAGCTGTAAAGTCATGTGAAATCACAAATTAAAGTAAGTTCTGGTGGTAGTGGCATTGTGCAGTTAAGGCAACAGAGACTCAAAAAGATCAAATATTTATTTTCTGAATTGTTTTAACATGTTCATTTTGTATCATTTTATTGTTTAGGTTTTGTTGAAGGAGTGCAACGTGTCCTTGTGCCCATCATCCAGTAACTGTCGCTGGAACTCAATGATGCTATCTTTACGCCGTATGGTGCAGGAGTCCGCCTGGAGCGCCATTATGACTCTCTTAGCCCAGGCTCGCATAGAGGCTAATGACACTGCCAGTGTTCCGCCTCTGGTCATGGTCAAGAGGGAGCAAGTGATTGACATCCTGGGTCTCCTTGAGCCCTTTGGGGAGGCATTGCAGGTAAAAGAAAGTTGAAGAGAACTTGTAGTGGATTAGAGTGTTTTTACGAAGATCACTAGGGCCAGGGCGATTCATCGACTTAGGCGACGTCATTGATTACGAAAATGTCATATAGCATAACGTGCGTCGGCGTGTTCCATTTTGTTAATGCCTATTTTCTTAACAGGCTGTAACCTCACATAAAAACACTGGTTTTATCTGTTGCTTGGAACAGACACTATTCTGTTGCTTATGTGAAGGAATCAGCAGGCGCGTTCCTGAGCCTCTTGCCTACTACAGAGTAACACCATAAAACAGCAACTGCCATCATAATACAGACTCCAAGACAAACTCCACATAAGGATAAAAAAACAACAATAAAGTTTATGTGATGAAGCCCATCAGGCCAAACGAAAATCAAATCAACGGAAGAAAAAGCTGTTCACATCAGAACTTGAGTCACAGAGAGAAACAGACAAAACCAATGCAGAGTTTTTTCATCCTATTGAACAGGTAACTAACATTACTGCAAAGCATGTGAAATATATTGTGATTTTGTACATTAGTTGGCTCAGTTTGACTACTGTAGCTCGCCGGCTAACGCCAAGCAGTTGCTTACGTTATGCAGTGCAAAATACTTTAGTTGCATGGCTTTCCACATTACTTTACCAGCTAATGCAATCCATATTGCTATCCTGTGAGGATTTTAGCCTTCAACAAATGATGTAATGGTACAAAGCAAATGTGAAGCGATTTGTTTATACAGTTGTGGTCAAATGTTTTGAGAATGACACATGTATTGGTTTTCACAAAGTTTGGTGCTCCAGTGTTTGTAGATATGTTTGTCAGATGTTACTATGGTATACTGAAGTATAATTACAAGAATCAGAATCAGCTTTATTGCCAGGTATGTGTACACATACAAGGAATTTGACTCTGGATTGTACATTGCTCACGATGTGCTTACTCATACAAAAATACAAAATCACAACACAAATATACACACTATGAACAAAAACAATATAGACATATTGACTACTGTTGCAGTGAGCAGAGTGCAAAGGATACAGGAGTATGTACATGTCGGAGGTGGATGTGATATAAAGGTACATGTACATAGTGCAATGAAGCATAGTGCAAAGGATGCTGGAATAAGTAAGTATTTTGTGCAGGAGTAATGACTTGAGGTAGGTGGATTTGGTACACAGTATCTACAATATCACAATATAACAGCACTGAAATAGAGAATGGTGAATAAATAAATAATAAGTGTTAGCCAGTAAACAGGTGGCTGATTAGAGTTACTGGGTTATTAGAATTGTTCCTGACACTGAGTCAGAAATCAGACTGATGGCTTGTGGGAAGAAACTGTTCCTGAGTCTGTTGGTTTTGGCGTACAGTGCTCTGTAGCGCCTACCAGAGGGAGGAGCTGGAACAGGTTGAGTCCGGGGTGAGATGGATCTGCAGTGACGTTTCCTGCCCATTTCCTGACTCTGGAAATGTATAAGTCCTGAATGGAGGGCAGGTTGGCACTGATGATCTTTTCTGCAGTCCTGACTGTCCGTTGTAGTCTGTCCCTGTCCTTTTTGGTGGCATTTTAGAGTAAACTTCACTCTCCTCCATGTTTGTTTATTCATTTAGGAGCATGTGTGTTCCTTGGGAAAAAGGGTTAGTGTAGAGCCCTGTTAGGCAATGACAGGCTTATTTGTTGAGAAACACAGTATAGGCTGTGACAGACATTTGTTCTGAGTTGGGCACTTTGAATTATTGAAACCGAGCAAACACACACAATAAGACAAATCCATTATTGTTGCAGAAGTAATGCCGTAATTTGTCAGACTTATTTTCCTTAGAAGTATTATATAAATGTATGTAAATACATTATTATAGTGTTATAGTATTGCTGGTAGAAGATTATGTGAGATAATTTTGTTTTTGCCTGTAACCCAGGTTCTGCAAGGAACCGGAGTGACCATCTCTTTCATCATACCTTGCCTCATTGGCCTTGATAAGACCATGGAGAGCGTTGTTACCAACTATACCCACTTCAGCAAGGCCCTGCGCACAGGCCTCCACACACACTTCCAGTCCCTGATTCACCAGAAGGACGTGATACTGGCTGCTGTGCTCGACCCTAGAATCAAACTGCAGGTACTGAATAAGGACAGAAGTAGGGCTGTTTTGTTATGTCTTGCCATTTTGCATCCACAGAGCTGATGAACTGAAAACTTCAAATTTCACAGGGTCTAACCCTGGCCCCGCTAGCCTGGGGCTAGTAAAGATTTTCGTTGGGCCAGCAAATACAAGGAGCCAGTTGCCCAATTTGGCCAATGCTCGAAAAAGTGAAAAAAGATGTCGCTTAAATAATTTTCCAGACATTGCTTTGTTAGCCACTGTACTACATCAGCTCAGCTCTCCCAGACTTCGCTCTGCCTGTATCTGCCCTGCCCCCCCCCCCCCCCCCCCCATTTTGAAGTATCGCATTAGAAAAGGTGAGCTTCAAAATTGCATCAAATGGCATGTTATATTATGTATTTATATTGCCCTCTGTGTTTCATCTGTGTGTACGAGGAAACGGTACACACTGTCAGAACTTAAACATTTTATAATAATTTTTTCAGCCGTTTTCTGATGCCAAACTGGAGGAACAGACAGGTTTCTTAACGCCTTTGTCGAAGTACCAGGCTCGCACCATTGTGGAAGCCGCACTGGGAAGCCAAGAGGCCTCAGCATCTCCCTCTGTAGAGGCAGATGAAGAACAGTCAAGCAAGGAGTTGAAAGAGAAGCAGAATGGTGAAGAGGAGAGCCAAGCCAACATGCTGATGGAGGCATCTGGTGGCAGCTCAGACGACAACTGTGACAGAGTCGGCGAAAACGACCTCAAGCGCAAGTCCATCTTTAACTTCCTCCAGCCACCTGCAAAGACCATGAAGACGTCAGAGCTTGATGTGTACCTATCAGAACCGCTGTGGGAAAGCAACTCGAGCATGTTGTACTGGAAATCTGCTACTCGGTTCTCCCAGCTCCAGGGCATCGCCAAGAAGCTGCTGGCAGTACCGGCCACCTCAGGGGGCTTCGACCGCTTGTGTCCGATGGCAGCGTGTATTGTACGAGCCAAGAGGAACCGCCTGCCCCCTCACACCACAGAGAGACTACTTTTGTACAAAAACTCTGTAAAGACGAAGACTGTTAAAAAGCCCAGCGGGGTCACCAAACACTAATGGGTCAAGTGAAAATTGGGTCTGGTTATTCTGTCCTTCACAAATGCAGAAACTCCCCACCCTTACTAGAGAATGTGCTTGCACACCCACTGGACACCAACCCCGCCCAATGAAATTTCTTAGAACAACTAACTGAATTTACCATTGTTTATGACTTGCAGTAGTAGTCAACAGTAGCAAAATATATTTAAAGTATATTGAAAATGAAGCCAGTGTATTGAGAATGTCTTTTGTTGAAATAATAAGATACAGCACAGTGGCAACCCAGCAGGCCACTACTGTAGAACTCAAACTGTAATTTCTCTGTGGCTAGTGGATTCATGACTGCAAGTGTTTAGAGTGAAAGGCAGCATCTCTTTGCCCTTCACACAAAGTAGCTGAACTGCATTCTGAAAATAGTGTAAAATAAAGAGCATAATTCAACGCTTCAAACATGCCATCCTAAGTGTGAGTTTATACGTGTTTAGAAAATGCAGGCTGGTACAGGAACAGGGGAATGTGATGTCGGTCTTGTCGGGTTGATTCAGCTCAAACTAAAAGGAGTTCTTCTGAAGACCTTGTGCTGCTGCTAGCTTGTCCGTGGCAAAGGAGAAAATTAATAATCGGTCAAAGTCCTTAGGTGTAGAATTAGAACCTATTTGACTCTTACTGGTAGTAAATACAGACAGCAATGCACATCTTTATCTTAATGCCATTGAAATAAATTGAAAGATGCTGCAATCATATCTGCAATAAAACAACTCCACATCCTCTGAAATCCACTTGTGTGTCTTGGTGCAGAAATTGGATATGTAGTCTTTGGCAAGTAAATCAGTGTGTGCATGCATTAGGCTAGTCAATGCTTAAAGCAAAAGGTTTAGTGAGTAATATTTTCCAGAGAAACTTGAGGAGTTCCAATAAATGCACTGTACATTTTTGTAAGCTGAGTTTTCCCCTCTTTTTTTTGTAATTTATTTGTTTTGTATCTTGTACACTAAGTGCTGACTGACTTGGTCACTTGGCTGTAAAACTGAATGAGAGTTCCGCTTTTTTGTGAAAGCCATGTTACAAGATTTTCCTTTTCTCTTTTGGTCAGTTATGCTTTAAAGTTGCCCCAATGAATGGTTTTCTCAAGAGCTTTGATGATTTATCAGTTATTTGCTCTTAGATGAATTGTAATGTCTGATGGTCATTCTGCATCTCAGTTTGGCATTATTAGACAGTTAGGCTTTTAAACGAGCTGAAGTTTTATTGCAGTATGTATTGTGGCAATAAGCACGAGTCCTTTGACCTCTTGGAAAAATCCAGAGAATGTTGTTGTATTAAAGAATAAAGCTATTTTTCCTGTATCTGCGTCTGTTGCCCACAGTTTCACATACTGAAGTCCATTTCTATGTTTTACAAGAGCACTTTAGAATAAGGCTTAGAGTATCACTGCAATCAACTGAGAACAGTGTCCCTGTAAAGGGTGGAAGGATGGCCAATTTATCCTGAGCACCTCAGACTGAAAAACTACCAATAAAAAAGTCAAAGAACTATTTTAAAAGAAGACAGTTTTGGGAAACAAATTGAACAGACTGATTGTTGTAAATATTGTACTGGAATGCACAATCAAACGTTTTACTGATGTTTAGAGGATGACCGTGGCATTAATGTCAACCTCAATAGATATAAATGTAAGATATGGTCAAATGCCCATTATCTTTCGTTGTCATCGGTGATTGGCTGGACGACCTCCTACGTCAAACGCAAACTGCGGTTAAGCTTGTACTTCCGGAGTCGCGACCCTTCGTCAGCCATGTGGATGGTGGGGAAGTAATCCTGAAACTGCGTTTATAAAACCTGAACGAGAGAAATAAACCCGCGTGCCCAGAGAAGAGGAGGAATGTGTCGGGCCAGCTGTCAAAAGTAAAACACCACCAAGTAGCTGATAAACAAAAGTTAGCTACGTAGTCCGGTTTGGAAGCTAACTTAGCTAAACTTAGTTCGCCATGGCTTTGTACATGAAAGCTGCTGAGATCTTGGAGAAAGCCGAGAGCAAACAGGGCGCCGTGAAAACTCTGGTTTACGACAGCAAATTTGCGAACATCAAGCAGCTGTTCGCTCTGGTTTGTGAGACCCAGAAGTTCTCCTCCGTCCTGGAGGAGATCATCAACTCCACCAAGCTGCTCAAACACACCAAGCTGAGGATGCACCTGGCCAAGGTGCTGGTGCACGACCTGCTGATGGGCCAGGGGCTGAAGTGCGGCGGCTCATGGAAGGTCACGATGATGAAGCATCGCCCCAGACTGCAGGCGGCGCTGGCCCGCATGAAGGTGAAGAGGAAGGTGAGCAAGAATGAAGATCTGCTTCCGGCCAGCATCCAGCAGCTCGTCGGGGTCCAGCTGCCCAGGTATGTGCGTGTGAACACCCTGAAGACCACCGTGGAGGATGCTGTGGACTACCTAAAGAGGGATGGTTTCTCCTTCCTGGGACAGGTCTCCGGGTTGGATGACTTGACCCTGAAGGGGAGACACTTTGTGAGAGACATGCACCTGCCAGAGCTGCTGGTCTTCTCTCCTAAGACGGACTTCCATGACCACTTCCTGTACAAGGCTGGCCACATCATTCTGCAGGACAAAGCCAGCTGCCTCCCTGCCTACCTCCTCAACCCCCCACCTGGCAGTCACGTCATCGATGCCTGCGCCGCCCCCGGCAACAAATCCAGCCACCTGGCAGCCATCATGGAGAACAAGGGCAGGCTTTTTGCCTTTGATTTGGATGCCAAGCGTCTGGCCACCATGTCCACTCTCCTGCTCCGAGCCGGGGTCACCTGTCAGCAGCTGGCCAACCAGGACTTCCTGAAGGTGGACCCTGACAGCCCGCAGTTTAAAGATGTTGAGTATATCCTGCTGGATCCATCCTGCAGCGGATCAGGTAGAGAGGAACCCTGTGTGTACATGATCATGGTGTTATCCAGGTGTCTGATCACCTGTCTGCTGTCCTTCAGTGAGCCTGTAGTTTCATAGTCACATTAACACAACTTTGTTTTATCGTATTTCCTCTTCAATGAATCATCTCACAACTGCACAGATTTTCCTCGTGGCCCTTTAGAGGCACCTGACCCCTAGGCTGGGAACCACTGGACAAGCTAGTAAAATGCTGCGTAATTAGAAATCCAATATAATATATGATAATGTATTAGTCAGAGGGGACATTTTTCTGCAGAGCAAGTACTACCTCTGGTACATTAAGTATACTCGGCTGGTAATACAGTAAATCAGTATTTGAACATCCCAGTGGTAAATCAGGGCTTTCAAAAGACTCAGAATCAACATGCTAAAAGCTCGAAGCATCAATCCGTGCAATAAATAAAATCCCTACTTCAGCTTCTGATGCTCGGACATATTCTGTGTGTGGGTTCCAGGTATGGTGTGTCTCCGGGACAATGGCTCCTCCGCCGACCAGGAGGCAGATCAGGCTCGCCTGGCCTCCTTGGCCTCCTTCCAGCTGCGGTGCCTGAACCACGGCCTCAGGTTCCCTCGCCTGAAGCGCTTGGTCTACTCCACCTGCTCCGTCCACAGCCAGGAGAACGAGGAAGTCGTAACAGCCTGTCTGCAGCAGAACCCCGGCTTCAGGTGGCGACAGTCCACTTTCACTAAATCAAAATAAACCTTTTGATATTTGATACCTGCAAATATTAGAACAAGTGCCTTTTCCAGGATTAGCTGTCTGGATCATGTTGACAAAGATGTGTATTGGAATTAGAACTGCATACTCCGCCTTTTAAGTTTCATAAAGATCTAAATGTTTTTCTGACTCTCCATCTGCCGTTATTATAATTCAGAGTGAAGAAAAGTTTAAATATATGGAATCAACCACCGGTCCCTGAATGTGCAGGTGATACAATTACCATAAGAACTCTTCCCTGAATGCGTTTTTGTTTTCCCCCCAGGTTGGTTCCTCTGCTGGCTCAGTGGCCTGAGCGAGGCCTGGAGCCGCTCGGTCAGTGTCTGCGTGCCAGCACCACCAAGACCCGCACACACGGCTTCTTCGTGGCTCTGCTGGAGAAACACACTGAGGCTGGGAATAGGAAGCAAGAGCCAGTGGTTCAGATAAGGTAAACACTGGAGTGGCATGTAAAGTTGTTAAGAGATCAATTAGTTTTACATCCAATTGTATCATTTAAAAAATACTGTAATAAAAATCCTCTTTGCACACAATTTGTAATCTACATTAAAATGTGACGGTTCAACCTAAAGAAAGTTGTTGTTAATTTGAATGTGTCTTTATAGCACTATTCCTGTGGAATGGGACACTTTATTGTTATTTACAATTAAATATCAGAAAGCTCAAGCACAACCTATTTACAAGTTTTAAAGAAGCTTTTAATACACATGAACAACCATGCTATTCTGAAATTGGATGAGACGGTGAACGTTTCTGTCTGCTCTGTCACAGCGAGCTGGAGGCGACGCCACGCAGCCCATCCACCTGTGAGGAGAGACCTGCAGCTTCAGAAGAAGAGGCCGAAGCTTCAGAGACCGAGGACAGACCGACAGCTGGAGAGGGGCAGGCTGACAGTACACCTGGCAAGAAGAAGAGGAAGAGGAAGAAGAAGACCAAGGCAGCAACAGTGGCGTGATGAGACATTTAAACTGGGACTGCTACAGCATGTTGTCTGGAGGCTCTGTGTAGGGTGTTTTGAATGTAACTGAAAAGTAAAGATGATATTTTTACTCTCTGCCTCATTATTACCAGATGTTCTGCAAAACTCTGGTTTCTTTCCTTACATTTTTAAAATCCTTATTTTTTGTTTTTTTCTAGAAACCGTTTCAGGTGTTCTGTGTTTATCCAGACAAGTGACAGTTTTTATCCAGTAGGGGGCAGTGAACCAGCTGCCAACCTGCTGGAAAAGAAGTTTATTTCCGGTGAAGCATAGTCTGCTGTTGAATGTTTTGTAACTGTTCGTGTTGTTGTGACCTGTCGCTTGGTGCGCTGGTAACTTTTTCGGGGACGTATTGCTTCTTACCCGGCACTAGCAGCAGGATGTCACCGGTACCCAAAGTGAGACTGTCCGGAGGTCTGGAGATCTGCCGGGTTCTGAATGGGATGTGGCAGGTGTCCGGGGCGCACGGGGCAGTGGATAAAGCCAGAGCAGGTAAACATAAACCAGACATCATGGAGAGAATTGCAGGCAAGTTTAAAACATCCGAGTGTTTTGGAAACTCTGGATAGGATCACTAGCTCTGATTGTAAACCCATGCCAAACCACTTTAGAAAAGCAACTGTAAAAACCCAGGAAGGAAATACATTTTTATCTTAAGGACTGCACTCCAGCCAGCTTGGGGGGAAAAAAACAAAACAAAAAACAGCCAGCTTTGCTATGGAAAGTTATGGATAATTACACCAGGGCCATGTTATTCAGACTCTGTCAAGTTTCTTTGCAAGGCAAGTTTCTTTGTATAGCACATTTCAACAAGGCAATTCAAAGCGCTTTACATAAAAACATAGGGAAGTTTTAAAAAAGACAGTTTTTAAAAGGGTGAAATAGAAAATAAAAACAGGATGAAATCATTTTTAAAGAGTTAAATTGAGAAAACAAACAGGATGAAACAGGACAGTAAAAGTTACAGTGCAGTGTAAGTTATTAATCTACCGCCTTAAAATTTGATTGAATGAAAAGGTGGTGGTAAAAAGTAAAGTCTTCTCTCTTGATTTAAAAGAACAGAGTTTCAGCAGAAGTGCATAAAAACTGAATGCTGCTTCTCCATGTTTAGTTTTGACCCTGGCGACAGAAAGCTACAAATATGTTTCCAAAGTCTCTTTTTACTTTTATTTGCCAGTGTGCAAGGGTGGTGCACTGAAGTGGTGTCTTACAGTGTAACAAAGACAAAGAAAAAGTCAGGATAATGCATTTAAAAGTGTAAACGTTTCCGTCTCGCCTCTCCAGTTGAGGCCATGCAGGCCTACGTAGATGCTGGTCTGACCACATTTGACATGGCAGACATTTATGGGCCTGCAGAGGAAATATTTGGACAGTTCAACAACCAGGTACACAAATACACACGCACACACACATTTCAAGGTTTATGAGCAAGTGTGGTCAAATGAGCACTCAAATACTTTGTGCACACAAGCTCCCCTGCTGTTTTGGTCAGTTTCCCTCTTTTCAAAACAGCACATTATTATAATGGGGTGTAATGAATCGATTGAAGGGGCGATAATGTGGCAAAGTGAGAATAATCATGGGACTCAGGGCTTGTCAGGAATTTTATAAAAAACCTGATTGTTGGGTCACAACTATTTAACTCCAGTTTTACCATTTTAAAGTTTTATTCCCTTTAATAAATAATTACTGTTTGAAACTGTAATTCAAAGTTATTGATATGGATGTCATTCAACAAAGGTCCCTGACAAGAAGTGTACCGTTTTCACAGATTTTAATGTTTTAAAAATATGGGATGTAACCTACTCCCTTGGTTGAAAAAAGAATCCTTATAAGCTGCAATGCACAATTGGAGATGCAGCATTTTTACCCAACTTAAGAAACGCATTTCTTAATGAAGTGCACCATCATCTGCCTAAAACACAAGAGGGAGCTGAAGTACTGCTGTAAACTGTAGTTAGCTCCACAGAGGCCTCTGTGTGTGTGTGTGTGTGTGTGTGTGTGTGTGTGTGTGTGTGCGCGCCGTGTGTCATTTAAAGAGACAGAAAGTAGCAAGATGCAAAGAAAGACAACAAGAGACAGATTCAAAAAGAGAACAGGCTGCTGGTGGAAAAATCATGCTCAACACACACATTTAGAAATGCTCTTTCACACACACACACACACACACACACAAGCATTCACAGAAGCATGAGAAGTAGCTAATGCTTTCTCTGCCTTTCTTATACAAACACACACAGGTCCTGGCGAGGCTCAGATCAGAGTTTTGGTGGCTGATGTGCTGTGACAGTCTAATGGGATCGACCGTGGTCTCATCTGTTCACCTGGAATAGCGTGAGAAGAGAGCACTTCTCTCTGTCTCTCATTTTATCTCATTATTAAACATGCTTTTGAGGATTTATTTCACAATTAGCTAATAAACAGATACTATGTAACTTAAATGTTTTTAATATCTTATTGTCAGTCTCGTATTAGTTGCTTTATCTTTCTTATATTTTCTACCTACTATACCAAAGCGAATTCCTTGTATATGTAAGCCCACTTGGCAACAATCGTGCATCCAATAAGTTGCTTTTGGCAGTATAAAAACATACAAAATCTTTTTGTGCAGTATTTAATAATTTACGAGATATTGTGCATGGTAATAATGGGTTATAAAAGGTAAGCAAGCTATAGAAACAAGACATTGGTCAATTCAAATGTTTGTAGTTTGTAGTTATATTTGACTCTTTGTGTGATCTGTAGCTGAAGTGCAAATCCTCTGCGAACGACATCCCAGCCCTGCAGAGTCTGACCAAATACGTGCCAAGGCCAGGACCAATGGACCGCAAGGTGAGCCTCTGACAAATGGGTCAAGACAAGAGCGATAATCACACTCGGCCTGCTGTGTTTTACCGTGAGAATAAATTTATCCACAAGAGAGCAGTGTGAGCTCTTTGAGTCCTCTTGATTCCCTCCAGGTCCTTTGGTCTTTACTGTGAAAACAATTCAAACTAAAAGCGTGCACTCAGAAGAGTGTTGATCTCCGCCAGGTGTGTGTGGGGGCATGTGGGTGGGGAACAGCATGAGAGTAGTGGAATAAAATGGATAATGTTTTTGTGTAGTATAGTGTAAATTTTCTTATACAGATGGATGTTTTTATTCAAATGTTTTGTACAGTGTAGTCTCAGTTTTCTTTAAGGTATAGCAATGGTGTTGTAACTGAGCTTCCTGGGTTCACCTGTATGCAGTATACACTTAATAAGGAAACGATAAAGGAGACGATGAGTCCAAACGTCTGAATTTACACAATGTTATTTATTTAGAACATTTTCTTGCTACAAACCACACAAAATAATACCTCTCCCAAACAAAGGAGTATTTAAAAATGTTGAATACTGCCGAAAATACTTTATGATGAATAAAATAGGTTTTTCAAAAATTGTGAATCACCGCAAACTCGAGAGGTAGAGGTAGAAACCGTGCCACCATGACACAGTTGTTCCACACTGACGTGTTGATTTTTGTGTCCTGCTCAATATGTCACAATTAAAAAAAATTAAAATAAAATTGAATCTAAGGAATCTTTTTCTCATTTTTTGTTTATGTTGTGTGTGTGTTTTTAAAACAAAATGTAGGGTTAGAGTTAGGGGTTAGACTTAATCAGCAGAAATATTATTGGATTTTTTAATTCACAAATATCAATATTGGTATCAGCCTCAAAAATCCAGTACAGGTTGGGCTATGCTTTTGGATTATCCGGCAGTGTAGATGTATGCAGAGAGATTGCTGAATGTGGACATTAAGTGAAACCCTGTTCATTAAATGTGTTTTAATGTTTTTATTTTGAAAAAGGGCCAGTTTTACTGTTGAAAGTAGAAACGGGGGCTGAAGTGTGTCTCTGTGTGCAGGTGGTGGAGAAGGCGCTCCAACGCTCCATGACCCGTATGCAGGTGGACACTCTGGACTGTGTTCAGTTCCACTGGTGGGACTATAGAGACAAGAGATACCTGGATGCACTGGGACACCTGTCCGACCTGCAGCAGGAGGGACTTATACGTGCGTATACACAATATATACTGCAAACATGTACAGATAACACTTTGCTGGTGAATTTGTTTGCCTGTTATACACACAAATATTAGACTCTGAACAGGCTGATGTTGGCTTATCAGAGACATCAGTATGAATACATACTGTACATTGGGAAATTTTAAATATTAATGTTTTATAGGCTGCACTTTATGTAAGTTCATTGAATATGAAATGGTAATTTGACAAAGTAAACTCAACTCAAACTTAAGCTTTTTTTTTACAGAGATATCAGCTGCATCTCATGGTCTTAATCAGCTGTTGGAGTCATTAACAAAAGGTCCACTTCCTTGATGTTTCCAAGGCTTTCAGCCACAGCTCCATCTGCAGAGGAGGCCATGAGGCATGGTTGAAAGCCTCAGAAACACCAACTAAGTGGACCTTGTGTGGAGAATCAATTTTTTGTCAAGCTGCTGTTTTTGAGGTCAAGAATGAACATTCAAACTTTCGAACTTTGTTGTAAAGATTTATATATTTTCTGCTGTAAATATGCTTTTATTTCTTTACAATAATTTAATTTACCAATTAAGTGTACTGTTAAAAATGCATTACCAATATCAATTTGAGCAGCAGATTAAAAACCTTTTTAAAACTGGGTCCTTATGTTGGTCATACACACCTAGGAGGATTCACATTCTGTACTCTCAAGTATCAAAAAAGGAAAATAGATCTGTTTTTTGTTCTTTCCCTTTATTCAGGATCTTTATTTTTAGTCTGAGAAAACTTCACAGTCTTCACCTGTTTCCTCTATTTCTCCTCAGGAGAGCTTGCCCTTACTAACTTTGACACACAGAGGCTGGAGGAGATCACCAACAGAGGCATCCGCATCTCAAGCAACCAGGTAACACTTCACCTGCATGTTAGTGCAGCACTGCATCAGACTGATGTCTCTCTCCCTCAGCTTCAGTACATCTGTCGACCACGTGTTTGGATTTAATATGTCTGACATGCAGGTGCAGTACTCTGTGATTGACCAGCGACCTGCAGCAAAGATGGCGC